GTGAAATGGTACGCACACACCCACCCCCCCCCCCTATTTTTTTTTGAAGGACAATTTTGTTTACAGAACCTTTACAATTTATTTTATTCGTTGTTTCTATTGTGTTGTTTATTTAGTATAAAAATGTCCTCCAGTTCCAGTGTTAAATGTTCATTAGTACTTAAAGTCTATCGACCTTTGACGATGTGTTCTTGCATTATTCTGCTATTACAATTGTATTACTTGAAAATGACCTCAAAACAACAATATTATCGTTTATCGCGATAACTTCTGGGCCAATTTATTGTCAAAACAAAGTTTGTTATCACAACAGGCCTTAATTAACCTCAGGCAATGCAATTTTATTATAGCGTTGATTAGTTTAGTCGTCATCCAGATTACAGTTGCTGAGCAAACTCTGAGTCTGGTAACTTTAATGATTTTTAACACAATATGTCACATCAGTTAACAAAAAATAAATAAATAAAAGTAGATCCAGAAGCAAAACCCACTATTGTTTGGTTAAGAATTGTGTTCTTCCCCAGCTTTAATCCCACGCAGACACAAAGTTAGCCTTGAAAAAAAAAAAAAAAAACTAAATCTGATGAGCCTTGGGTCTAAATAACACTGATGCCTGTCTGCCTGACGGCAAGGTGACACAATGAAAGCGGTGTTCCTTACTGACACACTAGCATTTAGAAATGTCAGCCGGGATGAGTTCGGGCAGTCAGCACTTTGAAGCCCAGCGTTGCTCCATCAACTCCGACATCCACTCTGCTCCGTCAGACACAGCTTCGCTGCGGGTTTTGTTTTGTCGTTTCAATTTTCATACCAATATTATTTATTTTTTATTTATTTATCCAGTTCCATTTGGATCTTTTTTTTTAAGCTCCTGTAAATAAATAAAGGATCCTCGAGTATCTATTTTTGTGTCGGAAAGTAACAGTGAGTTTGAAAATCGACGCACGAGCTCGCGCGTGCTCGTGTGTGTGCACGTGCCAAATTTCCAACATCAGCACCATTTCAGCCCAGCCACAGAAAACGCTCCAATATAATTAGCTGGCACTACTACCGGGAGGCGGAGAGGAGGAAGAGGAGGAAGACAGGAAACGAAGTCAGTGGTGTGGAGAACTTGATGACTCACCATTCACTTCAATTAGGTCCGACAAAACATCTGAGCGCGCGGTCGGTCCGAGCGTACAGCAAACTGAATGAACGATAAGCTTTGAGTACAACGATACGTTTTCTAGACTGATGTAATTCGATTAAAGTAATGGAATCGAAACAAAATAGCCGACAGAAAGTCGTGGGATGGAAGGAGAAGATGGGGCCGTGAGTGAAAAGAGGTTTGAACTATTTCAAATTAGGTTCCAACATCAGGACTCAAAGGAAAACCTCTCTCCACATAACCTCTCACTAGCTGCATTTGAATTCACCATAAAATTGCATAAAATGGAAATTACGGAAATAAATTCGCTTACTGGAAACACGCCTATTTTTAAAAAAAAAAGAAAAAGAAAAAAAAACACGTTTTGCGCTATAGGATAAGATGGTTATTCAGACGTATCGAAATAGATGCTTTTCGCACAACTGTAATGAAAACACTTTTTCGCGTCACACCAGTCACGTGATTAACTACTGGCGAAAACCATGAAGAAGAGGAAGGCAGGAAGTATTTTCCTTCGTGGTTTGTAGTTTGTTTTGTTTTGTTGGGGGTTTTTCCTCCACTATATAGTCACCGCCTTAAAATAATGACTAAAGTAATTTTTTTGACAAACATGATTTTTGAAAAGAAAAAAAAAAGTTAGTAATATAATAGGGTTGACAATACTTATGCCAATGGTATATATATATATATATATATATATATATATATATATATATATATATATATATATATATATATATATAATTTCTAAACTTTAGAATTCTCTTGCCACTAAATAAATGTAATTATATTAGAGTTTTTAAAGAAATTCTGCAACTGGAAATAAAACATTCAATTATTGTAATACTTCTTTTATCCTTACAAGAGGTGGCAGTAAATGTGGCTACCGGCCAGCAATCTATGTTAAATATTCGAAAATGTTTATTCTTCACAATTATTGTGTCCTTAATAATAATAATAATAATAATAATAATAAAGCATTTCAAAACAAATCATTCACTGCACTGCTATACTTGGACTATTTAAGATCTGCCTATCAGGATGTCTCCATGTTACTGATTCCAATAAACATAAATCTCTTCGATTAAAATAAGGCTGCAAAATAAATGTTCTCCAAAATATAAAGAAGCTGTTAGGAGTCAAAATTTGAAGTAATAGATGTCAGCTGACTTAACCCAGTAGTTCTGTCACTTGATTAGATGCTGGCCATGTGAAGGCCCTTCCTTACTTGGCATGCTGTCAATGCATTGTTGTTAAAGAAGAAGAAGCTTCTGCAACGTGAATTCCCTGTTAGCATTAAAGCTCCAAGTGACATCTCTGCCTCGGCCTGGAGAGCTCCACAGAGAGCCTTTGTTCAGCTGCCGGCCGGCGGTGCCAAGCAGCGGCTGAAGGAGGGGATGCTGCGGTCGGTCGGTGTCTTGTCTTACCCTGCTCCAGGTCTTGCTGGTCGTACCACGGCTCTTCTTCTTCGGTGACGAATTCCTCCATTCTCCCTGAGCTGAGCATGGGTGTCCCGCTCCGTCCGAACCGTGAACGAATAATAAACCCACAGAAATGAGTCCGTGAACGCCTCTCTTCTCCTGACGGGAACAATAACCCCCTCCAACGGCGGAGGAGGCGGCGGCAGAAAGGAGTCTCGGAGCAGAGCAGCGGTCTTCTCCCTGGAGCTGCTCCCCGGCAGGCTCTCCCTCTTCCTCCCTCTCTCTCTCTTTCAGTGAGGGAGTGTGGCTTTACGTGTTTCCTCTCTCCTTCCGCTTCTCTGCTGCTCCCTTCAGTCGCATCCCCTCTACACATGAACCCAGCAGCACCGGCCCATCCCGGAGCCCCAGCCAGCCGACACAGCTGCTGCTGCTGCTGCTGTTGCTGCAGAGACGTGGCAGGGATGTTGCGACAGCCGCCACTTCCTTTCTCCCTGTTTTCTGATCAGCTGCACACTCGCGATGCCTTCACCTGCAGCTCGTACAGGCCGCGCTTTTGTCTCCACTCGAGCGTGCAAAACGGACACGAAGACAGAGATAACATTGTCCGCGTAATCCTATTAGTGTAAAATTAATTTACTACAACGGATTTTGTATTTAAAGCTGACATCTGACCAAAAAATAAAATATAATGCAACCAAATCTAAACCGGAGAACAAAATGATCTATGCTATAATGAAGTTTGCAGATGAAACCAATGCTATTAGTTTGACCCAGAACAATGATGGAGTCCGAATGCAAACAGGTTGGTCCAGAACCACCTGGAGCTTAACCTGTTCAAAACAGTGGAGGGTGTCTGAGATAAGATCAAATTAAACACAATCGGTGTCAAAAAATATTTTTGTTTGCACCGCTATCATTTTAAAAGATATCAATGAATGTTTCCATTGGTCATCAAAGGTCAAGCGGAGGGTCCACGTTTAAGAACTCAAACAATCAATAGTGCAGCAAATATTTTAACTGCGCATCAATGTAGCACAAGTAATTTCCATCAATTTTGTTTAATTTTTGTTTATGTGGTGGACCTAGCAAGCATCTGCAAAAACAATTGCCTTCACTTAAAAGTGTAGGCAACCTCAGTACAATAGATTAATTACACATGATTTTGATGCCCTTTATGCTTTACTGGTGCTAGGAGTTTTACTAAGCATAATTTATTTCTATTTACACTCCTCAGTGCGAAAGTAGTCCAAGTTCCGCATTGCTAGATGCTAATTTGTTGCTAGCTGCGCTAACTCCACTGCAGCTTTCTTGCCATCTTTTCCAAAAAAGCCTGACTTGTTCAACTATTTCCAACTTAAATTTAACATCCAAATTTAAG